ACTTATTAGCAAGCGCTCAATATCAGAGATAGAGCTAACATATTTGGTTGAATTGATGGGAGTTTGTGACCCTGGGTTTCACGCTTTTGCGATCGTCAAACAAACTGATTAATTTTTTTTAAAAATTGGGTTTATGTAGATTGCGTGTATTAGTGTTATTATGGGAGTGGGGGGAATCGTCGAGCTCTGATTTTTAGCATGTATACATGATTTTTGGCATGTATACACTCACGAGACATTCACGAGAAATTTTCGCTACACTTCCAATCTTTGAATTTCAACATACAAATGCGTATGTATAGACACAACACCACCAATATACATGCATATGTCAAATCCGAAACTGTCCATATATGTATGAGTCCCGACGGACGAGCAAGATTGTATGTGTGTCTGCGTACCTCATCGGGTGTACGGACATGCATCTATGTTTGCGTTAGCACGATGACATCACGACGACGATTCCCCCACTCCCATAATAACACAATACACGCAATCTACATAAACCCAAATTTTAAAAAAATTAATCAGTTTGTCTGACGATCGCAAAAGCGTGAAACCCAGGGTTACAAACTCATCAATCCAACCAAATATATATATATATATATATATATATATATATATATATATATATATATATATATATAATACTATCAATAAGAACATTGCTTTTGTCTGATGATGCACTTGAAGAAGATGAAACGCGTTATATATTTCCCACTTTGTCATTCAATTTCCCATTATTTTCTGATATAAAGACATTTTTATATTATATTCTCTCATTATATTACTGCATATAATTAGATTTTTTTTCTGAACTTCATCTTGCGGAGTAATTAAATTGTTCGGTTAATTTTCAGCCTTTAAATGAATCGAGAAGGAATGAGATTATGTTCAAAATAAATGCATTTTTTTTCGTCAGGCTGAAAATATGTTGATGTGTCTTCTGCGGTCAAATTTCTGTTATGTCTTCTTTTTTTTTCTGTTTTTGATAAGAATTTTCTTTCTCCTAACTTCAAACAGCAGACAGAAAAGCAAGATTAATCATTATTTTTTTTCTGTTTCAGTTCCTTCTCTCGAAAAAAAAAACAGTCGCCAAAAATATATTGTCGGATTTTTGTTAGTAATAAGTAATACGAAAATAGAAGTAATAATACCGAGAAAAGATTCAGAAACAATGATTAATGGAGGAAAAAGAAAAAAGCAGACAGAAAATTGGTACAATATGGGAATGATTAAAAAAAAAAAGGATTTTGACAGAACTTTGATTTTCTTCATATAAGTTGGGAAAGTTTAATAATAATAATAATAATAATAATAATTTGCCTCTTTGTCAGTAGACCATGAGAAGGGATTCCTGGAAGAAATGCTACATTTGTCTCACGTGTACACGAAGGGCTTTATCTATGTAAAATATATTTGTTTTTCATCTATGTAAAATATTTTTTAATTGGTCCGTGGAAAGTGTTATGACGCCATTTCTAACCTTATGTCTCTGGGAGGGACCCAGAAAGAAATGTGTACACACCAGAAAAGCAACAAATGTCCCCATGCTTCGGGTTCTCATTTTCATTTTGATGACAAGATAAAAAAAAAATGATCGTGATTTTGCATGTCAGAAGATGGTTTACAATCAATTAGACAATGCAAAGAATGTGAAGTTCCTGTCGAATATTAACTCTGAGCAGAGAGAACGTTACTTATTCAGTAATTCATAAACACAATGTTCTTCACACACTCACACACACTTCACACACACACACACATACATATATATATATTTATATATATATATGAATAGAAGATCAAATATGCATAGGAATCCGACAAAATGATATGATAAAGGCCAAGTAGGAAACAGTTCTAACCAAACACATACCATTAATCTGCGTCCCCTCGCTCTTTTTATCATATTTATCATTTCTCTCTTCATCTTTGATGAAACATTTAATTCTTCTTTATCCTATGATATATATATCTTTATCCTATGATATATATATATATATATATATATATATATTCATTCTGTTGATAAGTTTTTTTATAGATACAAATATTTAAGTAAATGCTTTATTTATAATGAACAGTATTAACAACATTTACCGGCCTGAAAGTAGAAAATATGTGTCCTCCGACAGGAATCGAACCTGTATCCTACACGGAACCGTCATATAGCCTGAAGTACTATACTATTTAGCTACAGAGGAAGCGTCTGGTTAGCTAGGTCAAATTAGTGTTTTCAAGCAACAATTTTCCCATGATATTCCGTGTAGGATACTAGGAAATCTCTCGGACATTGAGACCGGTTGCCACCCAAGGGTATAGAACGCAGTCTGCCCTGCTATTTTCCCATAGCTGGAGGAGAAGACGAGGATCCATTACTTTCCCAAAGGTGCAATTACAACTCGGCTTTCCGATTCCTCGCCATCCATTACTCCACCGTGCCTCCTTATACACCATATCAGAGGCATTGAAAAAATGGCGGCACTAACTAATTGGGCGCTATATTCATTACAGACCAAAGTTCTGTTGCCTTCATGTTTAAAACCAGAACAGCAATAAAATAAAAATGAAATAATGGCAAGATGGAAAATTGAACTGTCGTGTTTTTCCTGTGACATAATATATATATATATATATATATATATATATATATATATATATATTTTTTGGTTGAGTTTTATGTCATATCAACCACTGAAGGTCATTTAATGCCAAATTAAGTTATATATATATATAGCTGGCAACATTATTATTTCAAAAACGTATAGCTGGCAACATTATTGTTTCAAAAATGTATAGCGGGCAACATTATTTTTCCGAAAACATTATCTGAGGCCTTGCTGTTGGACGGATATAGTTTATTGTCATACCCAGGACGTGGGTAAGAGCTGGAAAAACTAGGAGTTCACTATTTTCCCATAGCTGGGACCCTAACAGGTGCTACCACCCCGGGTCAAGGTGGACCTGGGAACACCAACAATTAATAGGTGGTTCCACGCTCCTCAAAACCTCCTGATCAGAGGCCTTGCTGTTGGATGCAGTTTAACGTCATACCCAGGACGAATATATATATATAGTCTCGTTTTCAAGAATCTTCCATTGCAATCAAGAATTCTATATTTAGTGGTTAAGAAATTAAGCTCGCTGAAAACCATATGCCACGGACTTTTGTCCTTCCCAATTTTGTATACGTCGATCTCCGTTTATACGTACGTGTATATATATATATATATATATAAGTTTGTTTTTAATCATTTCAACCCAAGTACGGCAGTAAAGCTTCTAAAATAAAAGAGGTTACTGAGTGTGAAAGAATATGAAAGATAAGGCAACATTTTTAAGGAGCGAGAACAATGACAGACTTGAAGAAGACAGTTGATAACGATTGACATTGCATTTAAATTTTTGAAGATCAAATTTGGCTGGAAAGTAAGGGGACAGAATAGAGTTCCACAAGCAAGAAGTGTGAGAGAAGAAATTGTTAGCATAGAACTTACGATTACATGTAGCCCTTTCAACTGTTGCCAATCTGATACTGCGCTGAAAATCATAAAGTCTAGGTACCATAGTGTAATGTAATATTCATTTTGAGAATTCAAAAATGTGACACAAGACTTAAAGGCGGGATAGGGGAAATTCGTCTTTCAAGATGTCTTGTCTTAAATGTAGCTAGTCGCAATTACTGACCCAAACATACCACAGTATTCATCACACCAAAACAACATTGTTATTTACCATTCTCACTGCAGCCACAATAATGCCTCATAATCTCTACGAAATTCTAACTAGTCCCCATATATACAATTTTTGTCTGTTGGGGAAAGGAATAAAACAACAATTTAAAAATCTATACCCAATATGTACTTACAGTGTATGATAAGCTATTTATAATAAAGCAACTAAAATAATAGCTCCCATATCTACAATTTGTGACGAGTGAGGAATAAAAATAACATTTATAGCGGGAAGTTCATCAAAAAAATTACCATGAAACTATTTGTAGAAAAATGCACAAGGAAGGTGTATTATGGCGGTGGGACGGTAACTGAGGCATTGGTGCCAGGTCAGGACCAATAACATTAGAGATTCTTTTTTTGGATTTTATCAAAAATCACAATATATATTGCAGGAGCATCAAGCTATATATGGTAGTAATATTTAAAGCATGGACGAATGGTACATTTATAAATGTGTAAGATAGATTCCGGAGAGAAAAAAATTGTATACCATGACACAGTGAACCAACTTTTTTAGCAGCAGACATAGAAATTGGTTTGATATAACTTTTCCAGAATTTTGGCCTGAGAAGGCACAAGGAGACATTCTTCTGGAGATTTCCGAATCTTACTTTTTTATTGGCTTTAGGTAATTTCGTTTTCTTTTGCAAAATATTAGGTAGGTGCAAAAATAATGACGTAATAATGTCGTTTTTGACGCATTTTTTAACGTCAAAAAACGACATTATTACGTCATTATTTTTGCACCAACCTAATAATTCTTTATGTCAGTCTTAAATTTTCTTTTTTTTTTTTTTTTTTTCCTTTTTGTCTTGACTTCTCGATTGCATATGAAATTTTTATCTCATACTTTCTTTTTTCATTTCTTTATATTTCTCGGTTGTCTACAACTACCACTACTACCACTACTACTACTACTACAACTACTATTACGGATGTGTTAACACTTCACTACTGTTGCTGTTGTTGCTGATGCTGTTCCTACTAATCATCGTTACTACGACGGTTATTTTAAAACCTCCAACAAAAATAATAACGATAAATTAAATAAACGAAAATCGAAAATAAATTGTCAAAACTTAACTGAAATTTAAAAAAAAAAAAATGCCAAAAAAATATTTCCACGGAAACAATGTCTATAATTTGTTCGTCTGCTGATGATCTACGCGCTCCTTGTCGTCGTCATCGTCGTCATACGGTGATTTGTCTTCCACCCGTAAGGCCTGTTCTGTTTTTAAATACCGTCGATCATCTTTATAGTTCATTGAGTGACGAGAAGAAAATCAGCCTTAAGCGAAACATCCCCACCTATCCAAAGGTAAGAACTTTGAATAATTATTCTTTTTTTTGTTTTGCATTTTCGCTCTGCAATTAAAAACGTTTTGCCTATACATTCTTGCGCAGGACGTCACAAGATCAGTGGTTGACTTGTGAGATGTGTAAATGATCTTATTTTACCCTTCCTCCAACTCCACGGAACACAAACTTTGTGTCATCTCAATATCAGGTCGGGAAGTATTTAGGCTTACGGTCATATCACTTTGACACACCGGTTCTCACAAGATCACTGAAGTTAAGCAACATCGTGTCTGCTCAGTACCTGTGTTCTGGTTTGTAACAGTAACACCGGCACCTTCTGTCTTGTAAGGTTTGACGTAGGGAATCTATTTCAAATCCTCGACTCAAGGCTGCAATCTGACACGCTAGACACCTTCCCACAACAGTCTATTGGCCTGTCTATTTATCTACCTTAGAGCGCACAGAGCTTGAAGCAATTCACGTGTTCCACATTACACTTAAACCGTGTTTTCCGCATTCCGAAGGAGGCGAGTTCGATTCAGGCAGGCAAGTCACAAGCGGGTTCCCTCGCTCTACTGAACCGGTAAGTTATGATTCAGGCGACAGTAGCTCTAATGGATAATGAAACCGGAGAGCCGTGTTAGAATTCCAGTCAATTACCGCTGGCAAAGATATGAATCCATCTTCTCTTCCTTCAACTCTGGATTAATTAGTAGGACTTGTATTAGTAAAATATTATTATTATTATTATCTCAAAAGATATTTACAATCCAAAAATATTTTCTGGTTTGGAATAACTCGTAAAGGTTTGATAAGCCGTAAAACACAAATCAATGAATCAATCAATTAAGAACATATGTCCACGACGAGAAGACAGAATGCATGGTCATCAGTAAGAGGATGAGCCCGAAATGTGATTTGCAGGTCCGGAAAACTACAGTCAAGCAAACGCGCAAGTTTAAATATCTGGGAAGAGTCTTGGGAGAGGACGGTAAGTGCGACATTGAGATTGTATTGGGATGGCCAAGGACAAATTTCAAACGCTACGCAAAGTACTTTTTTTAAGCATTACGCCCCGAGCAAGGCGTGAAGCCACTAGGATGCAGGGGGTTGCAGAAGATTAGGAGCAAAGCAGATAGGAGTGATAGAAGAAAGGATGAGGAGAAGGATAGTGGGTAGATCAAGGTAACTGGAGATATCGATTGACATTACGTTTGAATAGTTAGAGATTATAGCTCTCAGGGAAACAGTAACTGGGAAGGGTGTTCCACAGGCGAGAGGTGCGAGGTATGAAGCAATTGGAGTAGAAGAGACGGCTACATTTGAAAGTTTCTACAGTGTAAGGGTGAGAGCGAGATGCCAGCCTCGTAGGGCGCTTGAATTCGTGGAGTCTGGGAAACGGTGAAAGCAGCTCATCGGAGCAATTACCATGAAAGTATTTGTAGAAAAGACAGAGAGAGGCGACGGCGCGTCTGTGAGAGAGTGACTGTAGACGAGATGCCAGATCAGGGCCAATTATATTACATATCCGTCTCTGGATCTTGTCAAGAATTCCGAGGTAAACAGAAGCTGCCCCAGACCATATATGGCAGCAATACTCCATGCAAGGGCGAATGGTTGATTTGTAGGATTTCTTTGGTAAAAAAGAAAGGAATACGGAGTTTTTTACGTGACATCTGTCCTTCTTTACGGCAGCGAATGTTGGACGATTTCCTCAAAGATCAAGAAGAGACATGAGGCGACAGAGATGTGGTTCTACAGAAGGATGCTAAGGATATCATAGACTGAGCGGGTGAGCAATGATCAGGTCTTAGAGAGGTTGCAAACAACAAGGAGGCTAATAATTAACATCAGGAAGAGACAGCTGAAAATTTCTGGGACACATAATGAGGAAGGGGGGTCTGGAGAATCTGATACTCACGGGTCGAATAGAGGGAAAGAGAGACAAGGGAAAACAACGCGGGACATACCTGGCAGGGTTATGCAAGTGGATGACAGAACGTGGTCTGGGAGAGGAAGCAAAGAGAAGGAACTTGTTGAGAGCTGTAAGGGATAGAGGGAGGTGGAGAGCCATGATCGCCTACGCTCTGAAAGGGGATGACAGATACAAAGAAGGAAAAGTGCACTGTTGACAAAACTGTTTAAGAGCTGCCTGAAATAAATATATTCTTAGCACATGTATGGTATCAGCTTTATGCCTCGTTTACAAGAATTAGGATAAGCGCTCGTCTCCGACTCAGTATCGCCTAATCTTTGTGTCATCAGCTAACATTTTGTATCTGTGATGAATTGTAGGAATAGACTCCTGAGCGGCAAACAGTATGGCTTTCGCTTCCCTATATTAACTCATGATGTCTTAACGATCATCATACATAAAGGGTGCGATGAATAAATTTTCGTCTAAATTAAGTTGAAAATGAAAATAAAACTGGCATCTGACTTTAACATATATATTTACCAAAATCACACAAAAATGTCCTGAAATACAAAAAAAAAGTACATTTATTCAATAAAATCTCCATTGGCTTTAACCACGGGCTCAAGACGACATCGTAATCTCCTGCAATTCTTTTGGACGGTCTCTTTGTTTAAGTTGGTGAATGCTGCCATAATCCTTGCCTTCATTTCATTTTTGGTGTTATAAAGAGTTTTGTTGGTCTCTCGCTCAACTGCGCCCCACACATAATAATCAAAGGGATTGCCGTCTGTGGAGTTAGGTGACAGATGTAAAGGGTGATGTGGTCGCAGAAATCGTCTGACTGCCACGATTGGGATCTCCTGCTTGTGTGGCATGGTCCAGCGTCCTGTTATCAAACATAGGTTCTTCTAGCAGCCACCCTCTTGGCCTTGGACTGCACCACCTCCGCAAAACACTTAGTGTAGGCCTCTGTGTTAAGTCTGAGGCCGCGTGGGAAGACTAATGTAGACATAATGTCGATATTACTAGTGATCACTCCAAACATCTTTGTAAATATCATTAGACTCATCAAACTCTTTCCGAATCCTCTGCACTGTCTTCAGATTGACACACAAATACTCCGAAATGTTCAGATTGTAGCTTCCGGTGAATGCCAAGCAGTACAGTATGCCGTTTTCAAATTTCTGGAGAAGTGAATTGCATCATGGTGCACTTTTTCTCACAGAGAGTGCCCAACTGACTCTACTTATACTGTAGTGTCGACATATCAAAAACAAACAACGCCCATGCGTGGAATTAAGAATATAGAATGGTGACAATTTACCCTTTACACCCTGTAGAATTAGGGAAAAGCATGATAATAGCACATATCTAAAGAGTTCGCGTAGATATCTTGAAATCCTTTGGCAAAGTGTCAGATATGGGATTGTTATACTGATAAGCTGTACTATCGAGGCAGGAGTAAATTGTTGAGTCGTCAGTGTAGATACCAAGTTGAGAACTGATGTCATCAGGGAGGTCATTAATGAAAATTAAAAATAGAGTAGGATCAACGATGGAGCCTTGGAGGACACTTGCATTGCTACGAAATGATCTAGACGAGTGGCCGTTTGGGATAACTCTCATTCCATGATTAGAGAGGAAAGACTGGATCAGTTCAAACAATTGTCCGGAGACACCAAATTCTATTACTATGGTAAATGTTCAAACGACCTACATTCCTTAGTTCCATCGGATCAGACCTTCCCAGATCGGACCCATTATATCGCGTACACGACGTCAATGCATCCTAATTCCCTTCGTAGTCCACTCGAACAGCTTCTTCCACAGAGCGAGAGCTCTGTGGAACAAACTACTGAGAAGATGCTTCTCCGACTATTACAATCTTAACCACTTCAATCGATATATATCCGAAACACTCTCATAATATACTGCTCTTTCCCTTTTCTCCTCTCCTACGCCCTTAGGGCAGTTGTAATCTGGAATGCTCTTCATTGAGTTTTTCATGGATCTCGTGTTGCAAGAATAATAGTAAATAAAAAGCAACAACAAAAAAGGAGTACTACCAGAATAAACATTCCCAAAATACATATAAAGGGTATTCCAATAACTTGGTCCGATTTTAAACTTAATTCACATTTAAAATCGGTCCAAGTTATTGGAACACTCTTTATATGAATGTGTGTGTGGAATTACATAAGATTATTCAACACCACGATTATTTTCCAGAATAATCATTCCGAATTTATGATTTTATTTTATTTTTCTTATTAATCATTCCGAATTTATGATTTTATTTTATTTTTCATATTAATCATTCCGAATTCATGATTTTCTTTATTTTTCTTATTAAGCATTCCGAATTTATGACTTTTTGTATTTTTCTTATTAATTATTCCGAATTTATGATTTTATTTTATTTTTCTTATTAATCATTCCGAATTTATAATTTTATTTTATTTTTCTTATTAATCATTCCGAATTCATGATTTTCTTTATTTTTCTTATTAAGCATTCCGAATTTATGACTTTTTGTATTTTTCTTATTAATTATTCCGAATTTATGATTTTATTTTATTTTTCTTATTAATCATTCCGAATTTATGATTTTATTTTATTTTTCTTATTAATCATTCCGAATTTATGATTTTATTTTATTTTTCTTATTAATCATTCCGAATTCATGATTTTCTTTATTTATATGTTATATGTGCGCGGTAGTTAGTGGAAAGCTCTCAATATCAGTGATAGTGCTAACATGTTTTGTTGTATTGAAGTTAGTTTCTAACCGTGCGTTTCACGCCCTTTCTATCGTCGACAAACTCCCTCTCTCTCTCTCTCTTTATATATATATATATATATATATATATATATATATATATATATATATAGTAATTTATTTATAGTAAACCGATTAAAGAAATACAAGAGATAAAAACAACAAAATTAATAATACTGATAATAAGATTAACCATATTTATTGTATATTAGTAGACCTTTAGGACAAATGGATGATTGATAAGAAAAGATTTTCGGACACGACTGTATCCTTTCTCAGTAAGAAAAAAAAAATGTTAGATGATTTTGCAGGGGACTATTTT